TTGACTGTTTGACTGTAGATACACTCACATTACCCGAACTGAAATCTCATTTATGTGCTATGGCGATAAATTACAAATCATGGTAGACATTTTTTTACGTATCCTCCATTCTTATAAGCTGTTTTGTTGTAGACATTGTTCTATTGAAGACGTTCTTAAAGTTGATGAAATGAGACTGTTGGCAAACCATTATAGGTTTTTGACTAAGCCGACGGGACCTACTGACAAGTTGAATGATAATCCTTCCGCTAATATTAAGAAGACATTGGGCGGTGAAGAGTTACGTAAAAGCATAATACTACCTAACCAATACCCTACCATCTAGTATATAGTTCACTTAAACCCAGGTTACGAGTCTAAGTCAAGCTCAACTAGACCTCTAGGAACTTGTTAGAAGACTCACTTCAGCCATATTGATCGCCTTCGTTCCCGGTGATAAAATTATAAAATTGTCTAGTACATTCAATTCCGATGCATCAAGATTAGCAATCTCGCCATCCGATATAGAAAGCAAAGCATTGGAGAATCGAATTGTATGAATCAAAAAAAAAAAAAAAGTTAACCTGGCGTAATTTTCGTCATCGCATGCATGAACGAAAGTAATGATACAATAAAACCTTTACACTTTCTATTTTCTATTGACTGTAATAAATGAATGGTGTCTATTAAATTTTGCAACAATACTGATTTTTTTGAGGTTGGCAATGGGTTTGGGATTTTATACACACACGTCATGGTCGAGATGTTTTGGTGGTACAAATGACCACACCCGTTAAGATATTATTCACGTAATTAATGCAGATCGGTAACCTCATTATAACATTGGCTTTAACTTTGGCTGTTTTTTTATATTTTATTGAAAGCATCTCAACTTGGTAAATTCATTCTCGTGTTTTTTAATTTTTAATAGAAATTAATAAAAAATAAACACTAGCATGGAATTTTTTAAAACTACTCCGTCATTTTTATTTAGTGGCGCAGCGTTATCGCGGATTTAATAAAAACTTTATTTACATTATAATAATTTTTAAGAAACATTATTTAATATATACATATATTTTATCCATTACATTAAAATAATTGCTACTACCGTAATTATACGAGAACACTTGTACAACACATATGACAAGACCAAAGATCAGAAAGCAATAAATAAAATCAACTTACGACGGTAGTGGCTTGTTGAATCAAGAAGCCAGAACGATTATTGATCCATAAGAGTAGTGTGACAGAGAATTGATAGAATCTATCACACCTGTATGCAGTGTTGTCATGAGACACAGACACGGACTTTGGACGTCCGGGACGGGACTGTCCGCGTCCGTGTCCGGAAATTTTCATGTCCCAGTCATTTTGTCCGAAAATATAGTCACGTGATACTAAATTAAATTTTCCGATAAAAAATAATTTACGTTCATAAATAATTAAATTTTACATTTTACAATTTAGTTTTTATAAAATTAAATAAAAAACTTAATCATATTCAGATAAAATTGACAAAATGGTAAAGCTTTATTTTTGCATTTCAAATTCAATTTCAAAATAATTTTTTATTAAAATGGCGAATTTATATTATCTTTGAAAAGAGTTTTCAATGCCCATTTAGCACTAGTATCAATAGCGGGATGAGTAATATTATGTACATTTACCATATTATTGTCTTCGCTATTCTCATCAGAATCTTCATCAAATTCAGCATTTTTCTCTTCCTCTAACATTTCTACCCAACCCTGAAGATATTCACCAAATTCATTTTTTAATTGAGGTTCATCAGCTTCTTCATCATCTGATTCTTCGGAATAATTCTCTTCTGCTGGTACTAAATCATCAAGATTGATGGGATCTTGATCAGTATCATCAGTGTTAATAAGTTCAGTAGTAGATTCGGTAAATAATGAATTATTATGAAAACGATGGTTATATGTAATTTTAGCTCTCAGTTTACTCATTGAAAGAGCTTTGGCTGACTATATAGTATAATAATAAGGAAATTAAGAATACTTATATATAAAAATATAATAAATTAATTAAAATATCATATTTACACATACCATCAATCGATTATGGCGTTTGGATTATAAAAATCCCATATAGCTCCACAATCTCTCAACAGAAGCGACATTTACACAGATCCCAAAAATCCTACAAGCTACAAATCCCAACTCATTTTTTTTATTTATTATAAAAAAATGAAAATAAAAATTTTATAAATCAACAATAACCTCCTGTTTTATATATTTTATTTTATTACTAGATTATTAAAAATTTCATTAGATTCAATCAATTGGCTAAGAACTAGATGGAACCTTTAAAATGAAATTGACTGATCTGCCACCATAGTGAAGATAAGTTAATAAGTTTCTTTTTTTAATATTTATTTTTTTTTATTTTAATAATATTTTTATTTATTTTTATTTTGAATCTATCAGTTTCTCATCTTTGGCTAAGAATTGGATGAAACTTTCAAAATGAAATTGACTGATCTATCACTGTAGCAAAGGTAAATTGATGAGTTTTTTTTTTAATTATTTTTTATTTTAATAATCATTTTATTTATTTATTTTATCTATTTAAATTTGATCAGTTCCTTTGCTTGGGCTAAAAACCGAATAGAATCTTCAAAACAGAACTAATCAGCTCATCACTACGGTAAAGGTAAGCTGACTAATTTTTTTGATATACTATTTTTTTCTTATTTTGGTAATTATTTTGCTTTTTTTAGGTTTGATCAGTCAGTTAAGAACTGGATGAAACCTTTGAATGGAACTGACTGGTTCATTATCATGTTTAAGATGAGCTGACTAATTTTTTTGATTTATTGTTTTATTTTATTTTCTTATTTTAGTAATTAATTTGATTACTAATTTAATTTATTTCATCTTATTTATTTGATTTAAGCAGTTTTAGGTTGAATTGAGATCAGATCATCCTTTGGCTAAAATTATCTGATAAAATAGAATTTTCGTTATTGCAATATATATTTTCAATAAATTCTTTTATTTGTTTTAAAGTAGTAATCATAATCATTCAATCCCAATTTTTTTTAAAAAAAAGTCATATATAAACAATCATTATTCCTATCAATATTGATATCAATATAAATAAAAACAGCCCCTATAGTTCTTGCATAAAGCTAACCAAATTTATACCTATTCCTTCATTTTTGAGACTTCCACTATATAAAGTAGAATCATCTGACACTAACATATATATGGCATGAATTGTATATAATGTTAATTTAATGAAAAAAGATTTTTTATAATTGTTAATAATTTATCTATTTAAAAAAAATTTAGGAAGAGGAAGAACTTTCTGAATTATAAAAAAAAAAATCATATAAATAGTATACCACAAAGAATTCATGATGTACTAAATTTAAGATATTTCAATTAATCTTTTAAATTAATATTTTAATTTATAACAAATTAAACCTTTTAGCAAAATTTCATAATGGTTTATACTAAAAATTTTGAGAAATCCTATTTTAAGAATCTAATTTTAATTTTCAACTTTTTTAATTGCTTAACGAATATGAAATCAAATCCAATAAAATTTTATAATTATATATTTCAAAACCTTTACTGAGCAACAAATATGAAGTTTAGAATTTAGATCAAAGATCAAGAGCGTTATATATCCAATGATTTTTTAATTTGAACTGGAACATTCATCGCATATGATTAAAACAAACAAGATATGTGCAGTTATTTCTGGCTTTAAATCAACATAATTTATAGTTAATTAATAAATAAAGGTTTTATATATAGCCAATTTAATTTGCGAAATAAATAGTTTTTCCAGGTGTGTGTATGTTTGATGGCATAATTTACAATATATTTTAACTGAAATCATAAGTTGATTGTGTGCAATTTTTATGTTATTTTAGGAATTTCTGAAAACGGCAATGAAAAAAAAATAATAAATAATTTTTTCAAAAAATTAGTAACTATTAACAGAAAATAAACTTATCAAAGTCAGTTGAGCATAGACATGTTTTAATTTTTGGTTTATTAATTTAAAGAGCACTATCTGAAATCTCTCAAATTAAAATTAAGCTTTAACATAGAAAATATAAATATAAGCCAAGAAGAGTTATATGGGTTATGAGTTTGCAAACAACCTAAATGTGACCCTAAAATTGATTGATGAGTTTTCGATTGAACTAGAGGAAGTAAAGAATTGATGAATTTATTCAATTTACTCAAAGAAATGCAACCTCATATGCTTCATATTTAGAA